GGAGGCGGCGGCGGAGGCGGCGCGGGCGAGCCTGGGGGCGCCGAGCGGGCGGCCGGGCCAGGCGGCCGGCGCGGGCTCCGGGCGTGCGACGAGGAGTTCGCTTGCCCCGAGCTGGAGGCGCTGTTCCGCGGCTACACGCTGCGGCTGGAGCAGGCGGCCACGCTGAAGGCGCTGGCGGTGCTCAGCCTGCTGGCGGGCGCGCTAGCACTGGCCGAGCTGCTGGGCGCGCCGGGGCCGGCGCCCGGCCTGGCCAAGGGCTCGCACCCCGTGCACTGCGTCCTCTTCTTGGCGCTGCTCGTGGTCACTAACGTCCGGTCCCTGCAGGTGCCCCAGCTGCAGCAGGTCAGCCAGCTGGCGCTGTTCTTCAGCCTCACCTTCGCGTTGCTCTGCTGCCCCTTCGCGCTGGGCGGCCCCGCCCGGGGCCCCGCCGGGGCGGCCGGGGGACCGGCGACCGCGGAACAGGGTGTTTGGCAGCTCCTTTTGGTCACCTTCGTGTCCTATGCCCTGCTGCCCGTGCGCAGCCTGCTGGCCATCGGCTTCGGGCTCGTGGTGGCTGCCTCGCACTTGCTGGTCACAGCCACCTTGGTCCCCGCCAAGCGCCCGCGTCTCTGGAGGACGGTAAGTGCTGCAGCGCGTCCCCCTCTCTGGTCTTGGATACACTTGCCCGGGCGGGACTGGGAGTGCTCGGAGTCGGGCGCTCTCCTTCGTATTGGGCGGGAAGGGAAACTGAGGCCCCGACTGGGGGTGGTGGTGTTCAAGGTCACTTCAGCGAGTTGGGGACGCAGTCAGGGCTGGCACCCTCGGGCCCGGACTCCCTTCGGAGTTACCTTCCACAAAGCGCCCCTGGGCGTGGAGTGTGGAGACGGGAGACGGGCGTGGAGAGAGGGAAAGGATTGGCCCAAGGTCAGGCAGTTGATGAGCCGCCAAGCGGGGACCCGAGGGGTCTGCCGCTCTTTTGCTGCACCCGTCCCCGCAGAGGGACTGAAAGTGGGCGAGGAGAGCGGGCTCTGGGTCGGGCTCCAAGGCTAGCTGTGCGCACAGCCCGGGGCTCCTCTCTGGCGCGCCCGGAGCGCGTGCGAGGCTCGCCTCCCAGTCCTGCGAACCTGAGGGGAGTATGTGGGCGGTAGGAAAGGACCTTGGCCCCTTCCATCTCCCTGGCCGCCCCACGGACCCGGCTCCAGCCCAGAAGGGGCAGGGTTTGCCAAGGTCAAACACAGTCTAGTCTCTGCCGCCCTCCCTCCGCGGTCGCCCTGACCCTGGCTCCGCAGTGCCCGAACTTTGTCACTGTCTTCCCCAAGTCAGGTGGGCGAGATGGTTGCAAGGGGGACACCGTTTTCCCCCTTTTCCTGGGTCCCTGCTCCTCCATCTGCCAGAAGTGGAAGTGGACCTGGGGGTCTTTGCCCTTTGGGGCTCTAGCAGCTTACCCTTGCCCAACGCCCTTCACACTGCCAGAGGCGGGTACGTGGGGAGGTATTAGATGGCCCTGAGGAGGGTTTTGTTTCTGCCTCTAGCTGCAATTTGCCAGGAGGATGGTGTGAATGGGCTGGGGTGGGGGAACCCATATAAAGAAAGGAGGCAGTGGTGGGAGCAGCTGGAGGAGAGACAAGGGGTCACCTGGGAAGCTGGACGGAGGGAAACAGAGAGAGATTAAGGAAGAATAACGTGGGATGGAGTGGGGTGGGGTGGTGGTGGGGTGGTGGTGGTGGTGAAGGAGTCAGACATCCTGGCTTGGGGGACCAATGGACCAACACCCAAGAACCTAGGGAGGTGTCCCCAGACTGTGATGCCAGGGGCAGCACATGGTCGGGGGGGGCCATGGGATGCACAGCCTGGCACAGGGACAGACACATCACTGGACTTGTGTTTTAGGGCCAGAGAGAGACCAGCATGTGCTCAAATCCATGGACAGGGGATGGGAGGGAAGGGGGGAGTACATGGAGTCACACTGGCAAGGAGGGGGTTGGGAGGTGGGGAAAAGAGGAAGAGAAGCAGACGTGAAGGCTAGAGACAAAGAGGCACAGGTAAAGGCAGGGAAAAGGGAAATGGCAGAGAACTGCGTGCCCCAGGGAGGGGAGGAGGGCCAGGGTTCTCCACCAGGCTCTTCCACTGCCTCCTGTGGGCAGCGCATGGGCCTTGCCTGACCATTCTCAGGGGGCATTCCATACCTCCTCACCCCTAAGGCCCCCAGCTGTCTGTGTTTAGCCGGGGCCTCGTGCTGGCCCCCATAGCCAGACCTGTGTCAGAAAGACGACTTCCCCACTCCTGCCAGATGCCAGGGCAGTGGGAGAATGGGGAGGGGCTGAGCTTGGTCCCCTGGGAAGCCCCGTGATCTTAGCCACACTGCGTTCTCCTTGTGTACACCAGGGAGTCAGCTGGTGCAACAAAAGGCTGTATTATTGTCTTTTCCTTTTTAAATAAAGGATTTTCCTATATAGCCTCTAGTCATTCCTTTTATAGAATTAAATATTTAAAAGAGAGTGAGGTGAGAGTCTGTAAAGGTGCCTCTGGACACAGAGAGCTCTGCCCCTCCCCTGGGATAAGATGAGCCCTTGCTACTGTGACTCTAAGAGGGAAGGAAGCCCATGCTGGGAGCATCGATTGTTAGGGAGCAGACATCTGGGTTTCCCTGCTACTAGCTGTGACTCCCTGGGCCATACACACCCTTCCCTCACTGAGCTTCTGGTTCTCCACCTTTTTAAAGGGTGCATCAACCCCCTGTAGGGTTGTAGTGAAGGTGAAAAGTTTTCGGAAAAGCACGTATTGGGAATCTTCTGCCGCTTGTAAATGGTTTGGCCTCTTTAGAATGTTGGTATTCAAGTCCAGTGTCTGTACAGGTGGTAGTGATATTGAGAGATACATGGTGACCAATGCAGGGAAACATACGCTAGGGGTCTGTGATCCCCCAGAGATTGTGTCTCCCAATTAGAGAATTCCGGGAGCCTGTGAAATCTGTCCCTAATGAGCTCTGCAACTTGGGACTTGAGATGAATGAAGAAGATGCCACGCACATTTACGAAGCATTGGTGTTTCTGCTGCTGTTCACTGCGTTACCACCCGCCTCCATTCAGACCCCTGCCACTCTGCAGTGCAGTCACCTGCTGACAGTGACACATCCTCAGTACTGGATTCTGGGCAGGTAGCAGCCATGCTGGGTATGAGGGGGATGCCCCAAAGAGGCTGAAAGATGGACTCGATGAATGAGGGAATCTCTGTGCAGGGGCTGGGGACAGCAGGATGCTGCTTCAGGATCGGAGGTCCCCAAGGTGGTCTCCTGGTTCTGAGCCGCATAGAAACACCAGGTACCAGTTGGCTCTAGAGTCAGGCTAACTTGCTGGGCAAAGGAGATCCCGCCCTCAGATTCCAACCTTTCAATGCCTCCTTGTCAAGGATATAGCCCTGAGGAGGCCTGGGGAAAGCTTGCACTTTGGACTGAGGCCTGGGATCAGGTCCCTGCTCCTTGCTGTGGAGCAATCCCCGTGTTCTTTCTCTAGAGCCTCTGTTCCTCTGCAGGAAGGCCCTGGGGTCTCCTACAGCATTCCTACGCCACTTTTGGTGCACAGGGCTCCGAGGATGCAGCGAGTGTGTTTTGGGGCATCCTGTTCCTCCTCTGTAGAACCCGGGCCAGCCCGGGACAATGGGAGGCAGGGGAGAGAACTCAGAAAGCCGGTGCACAGCTGTCAGCACAGGTGGGATTCAGTAGCTGTGCTCAGCTCCTCCCCCAGAGGATGTATCAGACTGATGTCCCTGAGCAGATAGGTCTTTGGGGGAAACAGGCTTGTTCCCGGTTGGCCCCAACACTGAGGAGGTACCCATAAATATGTGCCATTAATACATGTTGGCCAGAACTGAATTCTCTCCCTCTCCCAGCCCCTTGCTTTTGGGCCACTGGTTGTAGCTAAACAAAATACAATTCATTTTTACTTAGCTGAGTGACAGTCAGAACTGAAAGCATCCTGTTCAAGAGCTTCCACAGCCTGCTCAGAGTCAGAAGGGGGGAAGGCCTGCAGGGTGGGCTGGAGAGCATGGTGTGGGTTGCAGTGAGTGCCCAGACGTGGGGGATAGGGAGGAGGGGAGAAGGGGAGGTGCCAGATGTCTGGGCTGTGTCCCTGCTGATGCCACTCATAGACTTAGCCCCAGAGGGGGCAGCCTGGGGAAGAGACGTTGAGCTCTCCATGTTGGCATGCTCAGGGACGCTGAGGAACGGGGTGTTGGTGGGGAAGTAAAGGCAGGAGTATGCAGGAGGAGCTCATTGCCTGAAGTGCTTGTGGAGGAGGAGGGAAGCTCAGGCTAAGGGCACCTGGGCAGGGCTGGTTGTTGGCTCAGGGTCCCCACCCCACCCACAGGGGTCCCCCTCCTGCCCTGCCCCCTTACATGGCTGGGAGGAGGAGTGTGTGGCCATGTGCAAGGGGCACACACAGGCTCTGCCAACTCCTAGCGTCCTCCCTGTATTACCTCGCTCCACACAGCCTCCAAACACCTGCTTTTTGACCAATGTTAGGATTATTGTATTCTTATTTTATTTTTGAAGTAGTAAGGGTCCATTGCAGTGAGTAGAATGTGTTTTCAATTTGGTTACTTATGACTGTAAATGAAATATATTTCAGTTTCTGCCTAGTTCTTAGTCGTAGGCAGGGTGACAGAAATCACGATTATCGCCGAGAAATAAATGGGAGTCAGCCGAAATTCCCCTGTGCAGCTCCAGTTCTGCCTGAGCTCTCGTGCAGAACTGTAAGTTGCTCTGAGGTGAAACAGCTTAAACCAGCACGCAGAATCGCAGAGCGCAGGGCTCTGGATGACCTGGTTGTTCATGGCAGAGCCTGTGGCCTAGGTATGCTCTGGCGACACCAAGCCACACTCCTTTGCGTGCGCTGTGCCCACTGCCCAACATACCGCCTCCTCCCGGCTCAGTGCTTGCTTCACTGGGGGTGTGGGTCCCCACAACCTGTGCTTGCAACCTGCCAAGCCCCACCCCCTTGCCCCTGCCCCTCTGTCTACTGGTTCCACCTCCTTTGCCGGCCCCTCATCCCCTGCTGGCCCCTCCCCTGGATGGGCCCCACCCCCTCTGGCTAGCCCCTCCTCCCCCACTGGTCCTCCTCCTCCTCTGGCCCCCCCTCCCCTGGCTGGGTGGCTGGGCCCCTCCTCCCCCACTGGCCCCTTCTCCAGACCCTCCTGCTGGTCCCGTCTGCCCACTGGTCCCCAGCCTGGTCCTGTTACCGTAGAATACTCAACTGCCTGTGCATCCACCTGTCTTGGCTGAGCGGAGCGCTTACAGGGACAGGGTCAGGATCAAGGTCAGGGAGGGTGATAGGTGAGTGCTTTTCCTGGTGCAGGGGCTGAGCTGGGAGTGGAGTGGGCTTCCCTGTCCCCTGCTTTGGTGAGGAGTGACACCCCACAGGTGTTATCCCTGTCCTTGGCTGGACACTTCCCGAGGCCAGTCTTATGACTGCCCTGGTCACTACCCCCACACAGCTGGGCTCCCCACTGCTGGCTTTGGTCCGGCAGTGGACTCTAAAAACTTCCAGAATTGCCCATGTCAGGGCAGCCAGGATAAGGGTGAGCAGGAAATGGGCCTGGTCAAGGGTGAGGGAAAATCGTCTGGGCATCGGTCCAGGGCTCCA